ATTTGTGTGTAAAAAGTCACAGGTTTTACAGTTCTCCATGATCCTGTTACAAGTATTGTAGTTTTCTGAAACTTCTGTTTCTTGACACAGTATGAAGACATTCACTTTAGGTAAATCATAGATTTTTAAAATGTAATTCTTAGTCTTAACTCTTTTGAATGAAAAATTACTAAAAATTTTTAAACTTATGTTTAACTCAGTGTTTATTACTTTTCTTTTTACAGTCTAGATTATGGTGTCCCCACCCCCTCCCCATGGCAGCTTTGGGGTTGTTGGTTATTAGTGCATCAGTGTCTTTTATCACAGAGGATCTGAAAGGTGCTGAATGGGGTGAGGCTGCTCCTGAGATGGGAGCATGCTGGCTTAGTGTTTGTAAATGCCACGTACATCTGTCCTCCTGTGCCCTAAGTAGGAATTGATCATGGCTTCTGAAATAGGATCTTTTTGTGTCCATTTGAAAGGGATGATGTTGCTAACATGTCTGTGTGGCTTGGTAATGGAGTTAGGGACACTTCAGACTTCTGGTGGGAGAATCATTGTGTCTCTTTCTGAAGGGTTTTTTGTTTTGTTTTGTTTTGTTTTTTAATCTTGGGACTATTTTTTGAAATCCACTTTAGTGTGGCAAACTTGTATGGTGGTGATAGATTATTTATGATTTATTAAAGCTTGCCTGAGAATTCAGAAAGCAGAGTCAGTCACAAGCCATAGAATCCAGGCACACACCTTTAATCCCAGCACTAGAGGGCTATAAAAGACAGAAGCAGGGTCTTAAGCAGGCGGCATGAGTCATTTGTTCTCCAGCCACATTGAGGAGAGGCAGCAGCAGTTTGAGACTTGGTGAAGAGCTCACATGTGGATTAGCCCTTTCAGCCTGAGCTAGAGATGAAAGTTAGAAGCTGGCTGCTTTGCTTCTCTGACTTTCAGGTTGAACCCCAATATCTGTCTCTGAGTCATTTATTTTTCGTATTACAAACCTGCCACATGTGCCTCAGGTAGCTATGAATGCAATATAACACCCAGTTTACTTAGAACTTTGTAAGATTTGGGATGGTTTTTTGTTTTGTTTTGAAAGGGGTAATCTGATTGCATGGTTGTTGGGGTTGAGTTTTGTAGGTGACAACGCCGTGTCACAATGTAAAGGTTGGATAGAGTTGCAGGTTTAGTGTTCACTTTGCTTCCCTAGAATACAAGTAACTTAACCTTAAGCCAGGGTCTCTTTTCCTCCTGGAAGTTCTCTGACCTGGACCCTGCTCTGGTTGTCACCTGATGAGAGGTTCTTTAATCGTTTTCCTTTTAGGTTCCCTGTTATCCTCTCACTAATCTGATCTGTATTGCTTTTTGACACAGCTCAGTGAATGATGTCAGGGTCCACACAGGAAAAGGACACAGTTGATCATGCAGCAGAGGGTAACTTGCTCCCTGGAAGCTCAGCAATTGTCTTTTTGTTTTTTTGTTTTTTGAGAGACAGGGTTTCTCTGTGTAACACCCTTGGCTGTCGTGGAACTCACTCTGTAGATCAGGCTGGCCTGGAACTCAGAGATCCGAGTGCTGGGATTAAAGGCATGTGCCACCACTGGCTGACATGATTCCTTCTTTTAAAAGTCATTTTAAGATGATTCCTTCTTTTAAAAGTCATTTTAAGTTCCATAATCCACACTGTCCTCACCCCACCCCTGGAAGTGTTGAGACATGATTGACTTCCTCCCAACATAAAGAATTAAAATGAGAACCCATAGGGCCAGTAATTGAGACTCATTAGGTCCTCATAGTAGTCAAGAAAATAGCTGACACCTTCACTGCTCTACAGATGATCTTGAGTCAGCCAAAATTGGATATTCTTAATTAAATCCCTTTTGATAGTTGCTAAATTGATCTTTGGTTTTGAATAGCTTATTTTGGAATTGCTTCTTTTAAGCCAGCTTACGGGCTCTCTGAAGTATGTGAAGCATGCTAATGTGTTTCAGAGTTGAATTACACTAATGCACCTGGCAGTCATCGGGTATCTAACATACGTTGACTGCTGAGGCAAAACAAACGAAGAGGTGTCCTCTTCCTGCAGGTTTTCCTGAGTACACACAGCTCTTTACAGATGTGTTCAGGGCACTGACAGGTGATGAGATCTGAAGCCTGGGTAGGGCTGAGAGAATTTAGTGCTGAATTTAGATTCTAGTGCTGTACTTGATCCTGGGTCTTGTTAATGTCTGTCTGTGTTGGGGGCAGGGCAGGAGAGGAGAGGGAGGAGGGAAAGAATGAATGAATATCTCCTGTAGCCTGGGAATTCCTATAGCTCCACCCCCACCTTCCAAGTGTTGGGATTATAGGCATGCCCACCATGCCTGACCGTCTTCCCTTTTTGAGAGTCTGTTGTTGACATCATGTTGCCTGTAAATATTAGCTGTCAGTTACTGGCCAGTGTGGCATCTGATGGTTAATATGCCACTCCTGAGCCCAGACAGAAACTTTAAGAAATGAGTGCTTTTACCTCAGTTGTGTAGAGGATAAAGAGGCAGCTTGGAAAGGTTAAACAAGTTCTAGCTGGCAACAAATTTCTACCTGGGGTTTGTGGGAACCGCAAGGATTTTACCACAGGTGGAATGTGAGAGGCTGGAGGGGAACCAGGGAGTGTGCTAGGCAGTGGATGAGCCAATGCTGAAAGGTGGCCAGGGCCAGTAAGGACTCAAAGTGTCCAGAGTGCACCCTGGAGTCATCTGCCCAGAGAATGCACGTGCTTGGTGGCCTCACATGTGCAGAACTTCCAGTCCTGTGCTCCTGTGTGGCTTCCCCAGGATTCAGAGGAAACTCAGACAGGAAAGTCTGAAGTATGCAAGCATGGGCTGTGGGCAGATAGCAAGGCTGCACAAACCACTCTGCAGTTGCTGTGACTGCAGAGTCACCCAGAGGAGTGTGACAGAAACCCAGCAGCATCTGCAAATAGACTAGGACCCAGCTTGGGACGCTAACACCTGTGTCTGTAATGAGCCCATTCTTCTGTAAACACAGGACTGGCAGGAGGGTTCTGGAAAAAGGAAGCTCACATAAGCAAGTAGTACCGAGTGCGAGGCACACACAGCATGCAGCTGTTTACAGCTGGAGAAGGTTACTTTCCTGTCTCTGCTGACATTAGTTTGTGTGTGTAGGTTAGAGTACAAGAAAGCCCAGAGCCTTATAAGTACTAGACATTATGTATTTGGTATGAGATCATAAATAAATCCCATTACAGAGTTTTGAGGTCTGTCTTTCCTAGAGGATGGCATTGTGCTCAAGAGTTATAGTGACAGGAATTTCAGCAGTACTGGGGACAGAGGTGGGGCTCAGAGCCATTGTACTATGTGCTGTTGATTCTGTTTAAAATTAATTAGTTACATCATGAAGTTCCAGATGGAGCAACACCTTGTTAGGGATCTTCAGTTCACCCCAAACAATATTTTCCTCTAACACAGTTAAGCAGTGTCACACAGCCAGTGGTCAAACATCTGTCTCTAGGGGAAAATTTAGGCTGTGGTATTTGGCTTCCCTAGACAGTCAGATTCTGGCAGGAGCTGGAGTCTGTAGAAGGCTTATCTGTTGTGTGACATACACCACTTATTGTTCTTACATGGACAGACACTACTGTGTTTCATGTTATTGTATAGACATGTCAATACTTGGGTAACAGTTCTATATTCATTTTCAGGTGGGGCACTGCCTTACTAGCCAGGCTATATGACTGATGTATAGCACCATGATGGCTACATGGTTCTTTAAGAATATTTATTGTTTTAATTGTGTACATGGTGTCTCCATGCATCTGAGTACCAGTACCCATAGAGGTCAAATGTACAGCTGGAGTTACAGAAAGCTATGCGGTGCCCTTTGTGGGTGCTGGGAATTAAACCCTGGTCCTTTGGAAGAGGAGGGTGTGATCTTAACTGCTGAGGCATCTCTCATGTTTCTCATTCCTGCAGATTTCTTCCCCAGTTTTGCTACTGTGTAAAATACATTTACAAATCTTACCAACGTTTAAATGGCACCATCATCCACATCTAAAACTTTCCCCCCTCCTGAGACAGTCTCACAGAGCCTGGAGTTTGAAGCTTTAGCTAGGTTGGCTAGCATTGAGTCCAGGGGCCTGCCTTTCTCCACCCTTGGCCGTGCTGGAGTTACAGGAGCGCACCACCCTGGCCAGCTTTTTACATGGTGTTGGAGAATCCACCCTCAGGTCCTCATGCTTATGACTTCCCCACTGAGCTGCCTCTCCCACCCTGATTGCCTTATGTTTTAAGACTTGAAACCCTGTGCCCCTTAAACAGTCCTCCCCATCAACCTTCATTCCACCCATTTCTGACACTGGCTACTCCAGGTGCTTTAGTGCTGTCTCACAGTAATGGAATAGTCTCATGGTTCATCATGACAGAGCACCTGTCCAGTTTTTCCTCCTTTTTCAGGCTAAATGACACTCCATATTTGTGTTCTTGCTGTATTTGTTGAGTTTCCTATGTTTCAGACACTGAGCTAGTTGAGATATTAAAAAGAATGAAATATGGATATAGTCAAGTCTACCTGTGTTTTCATATTTGTAAGTCAGCCTCAAAAGATTAAGCACAGGCTGGAGAGATGCCTCCATGTTTCCGAGCACTTGCTGCTCCTGCAGAGAATGTGATTTCAGTTCCCAGCACCCACCTCAGGTGGCTCAAAACCATTGATATGTCTAACTCTGGGGATGCATACAGACGCATTAATAATATTAGAAGGAAAAAGAAATGACTTAGTAGAAACATCAAAATGGAACAAAAGCTTCTTGTTACATTAGTGGAGGCTCACCTGAGGGGTCAGTGCTGACTGATGAGCTGCTCCCTGCTATAGAAGAGCAGGTGGTGTCATGGGAGGTCCTGTACAGAGAGGGCACAAGGGCACAAGTACAGAGTGATGGAACACAGTACAGCAGATGGGGGCCAGCAGGGCTCCCCACCACCCCGTCTAGTCCCTTGTGGAGCTCTCACCCCACCACTCTGCTTTCTCAGCTGAACTAGATGCAGAGCACACGAAGAAGGTCCTGGAGATGGAGCACACCCAGCAACTGAGGTTGAAGGAGCGGCAGAAGTTCTTTGAGGAAGCCTTCCAGCAGGACATGGAACAGTACCTGTCCACAGGTTACCTGCAGATTGCAGACAGGCGAGGTGAGCTGGGCTGTTCCAGGATGCCTGCAGAGCGGGGCCTGGGTATATGTATAGTTCTTGGTGCTTAGACCCCCAAATCAAAGTAAATGACACAGGCATGCCTGAGGTGCCATCAGCTACAAAATTATGCTCATACCGAATTGTGAAAAATATTTTATTATTTAATGGTGTTCAAACACTACAAAAGAAAGCTGCCTTAGCTAAAATGGAAGGGCCCTCTGAACAGTAACCTGGTACTTTGGCTGTTGAAAGCTGCTGCAGACTTCCTACCCGGACAAGCATTCCACTTCAGGAAGTTTCTTCGCCTCCAAGGGTGGAGCTAAGTAAAGCTTAAGTTAGAACATCCATCAACATAAAAAATGTCCTTAGTGGGTGTGGCATTTTGGACTCATTCCATGAGATCAGAAATAGCAGTCTGAACTTTTCTCCATTTCAAAAGTTTTTGTTAAAAAGCCATGGAACTTTATGTCAAGAAATGTCTGGAGAGAGCGCCTGTGCAGCGGTAACGTCAAGAGACACAGTGAGGGTGTAGCCTGGGATGCAGGAAGCAAAAGGCGGCCGTAGCCTAGGACTCTGCAGACCCACAGCTCACTGTGAGTTGGGTCCTGATGAGCCTTTAGGGCATGTGTGTGATACACAAATGTGTTTTTTTAACTTCTAACCCTGTGTAGAGACAGAGGACCTAGCTCAATGGTAAGTGCCTAGCATATATGAGGCCCTAGATCCAAACTCCAGCGCCATAAAAAAGAAAAGAGTAAGACATACTTTGTGGAAGTAAGGTATTACCTTGTATAGCTTGTTTTGGGAGGGCCTGTGGGTTAGTATAATCTGCTCAGTTCAAACTTTGTTTCTATACTTAGATTTATTTACATTGAATACATATAACCAACTCATTATTACGAATGTGAATACTTATTCCCAGTTTATTATTAAAAACAGTTCTAGCATGGAGATTCCGTTAGTTATTTTTCTCTTCACGGTGACGGAAATGCATAGGAAGGATGAACGTCAGTGTGTAATTCAAGAACATCCTGGAACAGAAGAGGTGTGGCAGCAGGAGCTTAGTGATGGGGGAGGGGTGTATTAGTAGGAGCAGGCCAGGGCTTGCTTATGTGTAGACTCTCAGGATGCTGGGGTTTCTCATTTCCCTTTCTCTGCCTCTCATTCACTTTAAGACCCCCCGTGTACAAGATGGGACTGCCCACTGCAGTGGTCTGAATAAAAATGGCCTCCATGAGACTATGGCGAATGGCACTATTCGCTGTAGATGTGGCCGCGATGGAGGAGGCGTGTCATCAGGAGGCAGGCTTTGAGGTCTCAGAAGCGCAAGCATGGCCAGTATGGTGCTTCACTTTCTGCTGCCTGCAGATCTAGGTGGAGAGCTCTCAGCTACCTCTTCAGGGCCATGCCTGCCTGCTTGCCATCATCCTTCCCAACATGCCTGTCTTAATTAGGGTTTTATTGCTGTGAAGGGCAAAAGGCAGCCACATTCTTTGCCAAAATATCACAAAAGCAGTCTCTAGGCCACATCCTAAATCCCTCAGAAACCTCGTGGACAGTCCCCGCAGTTCAGCTCATCCTCAGCAATACTGTCTTCCATGCTCCTAGGATGACCCACTAATAACAATTTAAGCATTCCACTGCTTTTTGAACTCATAGTCCGAATCCCAAAACCATAGTGAGGCCTGTCATAGTAATACCCCAGCCCCTGGTACCAACTTCTGTCTTAGAGTTTCTATTGTTGTGAAGAGACACCATGACTTCAGTAACTCTTACAAAGGAAAACATTTCATTGCAGGTGGCTTAGAGGCTCAGTCCATTATCACCACAGTGGGACATGGTGGCATGCAGACAGACATGGTGCTGGAGAAGGAGCTGAGAGTCCTAGATCTTGATCTGTAGGCAACAGCAGGAGATCGTGTGCCACACTGGGCGTGGCTTGAGTAGATGAGACTTCAAAGCCCGCCCCCACAGTGTCATACTTCTTCCAACAAGGTCAAACCTCCTAATAGTGCTGCTCCCTCATTCAACTGGGTTAGTCGATTGTTGTCATGTTTTTCTTTGTAAGAGTTCCATGGTCATGGTGTCTCTTCATAGAAATAGAACCCTAACTCAGTTAAACTTCTCTGGCAAGGACAGAGGTGTGTTCATAAATTCTGTTTAACTGGCCATTAAGATTAGCCTTCACAGACATCCGCACATGTCTCTGAGTACATTTTTCTTTTTTCTTTTTTAAAGACTAAAGAGCTGGGTCCTGGGTTTCTGACTGAAGGTGTAGAGTGAAACCACAGGCTTACATTATGAGCAAATTCCCAGGGACACTATAGCCCAAAGTTACAGCTGAGGGACCTCACTTTGAAGACTGCTTCTTTTGGGGTAATAATTACTTCATGTGACATGCTTCCTTTAGGTTTACTAGAGTTTATCAATTACTTGTCCAAATAGCTGTATATACTAGCTGACAAGCTACCCAGCTGTGTGTTTTCTGATTATGATCTTTGTCAACACTCCATAAAGCTGCGCCCTCAGTCAATATGAAGTGACATATTTGTCTTTAATTTCTTCAATTGCTCGTTTATTAAGAATGTCTTATTACAGTATATCTTGAGCATACTCTTTCCCCTCCCAGATCCACCCACTTCTCTGCCACGACATTCCACTCCCTGGCCACATAGGCATGTGATCATATCATAATGGTGTATCATAATGCCAATTTCATATAGTCAGCTTCACAGGTCCCCGTGTCTTTCAGTCTCGATGCTTGTGAAAGTTCAGAGTCTCTTCTGAGACTTGTGGCAATCTCTAAACCTCAACCCCCTGTAAAACCAAAATGTAGATTACATGCTTTCAACATGATGGTGTCACAGAATATACATTACCAATCCAGAAGGGAGTACAATCAGAAAATAATAGAAGTAAACTCCTAATTCTGCATCCCCATGTCTGATGGCAACGGGCTCTTCGGAGCTCTGCAGCACACTTTTCTCTCAGGGCAGTCCCACATCCTAGTAGCAGCTCTCCTTGGCAGGTAACCCATGACCGCCACCTCCAACACTGGGCTCTCCAAGGCCGTACAGGCTTCACTGAGACAGCTTCATTGCAATGGTCTCACTGAGCATTTATGTCAGATTCCTTGCAGGAGCCTGGCCTTAGTGGCTTTTCTTTAGCATGGAAGAAGACTCCTTTACTTTCTCCTTATTGATTCTACAGCCAGAACCACATAGCTGAAGCTACCAAGTCCTTCTGCCTTGCTAAATTCCTTTTTACTAATTGGGATCTTAGCTTGCTGGAGTCTTACCTTTGAGGCCCACTCCCTTACTCCAGTTAGCACCTGGCTTTTCCTTAAACTTTTATCTCCTTGGCCATTGGACTAAATTCCAACATTCCCTTTCCTGGTGCTCTCTTTCTCTTCAAAATGTGCATTTTTTACTTTTATTTTTTGCCGTTTGCTCTTTTCACTGTTCCACATTCCACTAACAAGGAGCATGGTCAGGCCTGTCACAGCAGTATACCGCTCCCTGGTATCAACTTCTTAGTCCCTGTCCTATTGTTGTGAAGGGAAACTATAACTGTGGCAACTCTTATAAAAGAAAGCATTTAACTGGGGCTTGCTTCAGTCCCGTCGTGATGGGGAGCCTGGCTGCACACAAGTCGGCGCTGAAGCAGTAGCTAAGAGTTATATCCTGACCGCAAGGAAGAGAGGCCAAGATTTTATTATTTATTTGTTTGTTTGTTTGTTTCGGACATGGTTTCTCTGTGTATAGCCGGGGCTGTCTTGTAACTCACAGAGAGCCTACTGCCTCTGCCTCCTGAGTGCTGGGATTAACCCAGCTTCATGTCTCGCACCCCACAAACAAAACCCAAGATGAGAAAAAAATCAAAAACAAGAACTACATATGCACACTTACACATGCACGCACTCACGCACGCGAGTCCATTTTGTATTGGTCAATGACTCCTGGGCAAGAGACATGTTCTGGAATGTGGTTCATGTATTCAGCAAAACTTCAGAAAAACAATTCCCCTTTTGCAACAGATATCAAATAGCTTGTTGGTTGGATATGGATTTCATGCGCACTTCCACTTCTCTGTGATTGTCTAGTGTGACCCCGTGCAGATACTTCATACTGTCACAATTCATGGGTTCACATGAGTGCATTAGTCCATCTATGAGAAGGAAGGCACTATTTCTCTTAACAATCTGCCGGGCTCTTCTTCCACATTCAGGGGGAATTTGATGACCATATCTCTTTTAGAACCGAATGCTCCTAAGCTCTTCACTCTATTTTGTTAACACCCATCTACCTCAAGAAGCAGCTTTTCTGATGAGGGTTGAGTGATGTACTGATCTCTGGGTATAGCAATATGTCATTGGGAGTTTTATTGCTGTTTCTTTAGCATAATTAAACTAATAGTTGTCCCCTTAGGCCCATGATCTACCTATCTAGCTAGTCTCAGGTTTGGGCCCACGTTAGCAATGTCAAGGTATGAAATGGACCTTAAATCCAATCAGAAAGTGGGTTGTTGACTTCACTAACACCTGTGCCACTACTGCACAGGTCACTGGGATATAGTTGGGTGATGCTGATGAGTATTTTTCCTCTTCCTGTAGCTTGCTGTCAGATGCTTCTCTATTTCTGTGATAAGATACTATGACCAAAACAACTTACCGAAGTTTATTTGGGGTTTACGGTTTCAGAGGCTTAAGATTCTGTGACTGTCATGACAGAGAGCATGGGAGCATCTTGATGCACAAGCATGAAGCAGACAACACACACACACACAGAGGAAGTGGTGAGATTTCTGAAACCTCAGTGTCTACTCCAGCAACACAACACCTCCAACAAGGCCATAGTTCCTAATCCTTGCCAATTTCCCCAGCTAGGGAACAAATATTCAAATATATAAGCCCATGGGGGCTATTCTCATTCAAACTGCCACATGTGCAAAGTACATTCTAGCACCATGAATGCTAGTCAGTAGGGTTGAATATTCTAGCTGGGCACCAGCTTGACCTCTCAATGTTTGATGACATTAGTGGTCTCTTCAGTTCCATCCTGCTGTGGAGTATAACTATTAGCCTTGGCAATATTATTTTACTCTAACCTTCTCTTCTTTCATTGAGTCTAGATATTGACTTTCACAGTTCTCTGATGCACAATATGTCTCCAGGCTTTGGCAACCTTCTATTTGTTTTAATAACTACATATTAGGACATTCCATTGTGATTTTGTTAGAGTTACATTTCATTAAGTAGTAGTTTCACTACAGGGGACACTTGGTGATGCCTGGTTACAAATTGCTGGCAAGATTCTATTTTAAAATGGGCTAAAAAGTGTTCCACAGGATCTCATGGCCCTGGCTGAGGGCACGCTTAACACTTACAGCACACAGGAGAGCATTAGGCTTCCAGTCTAGTGTCACAGAGGAAAACCCACCCAGGTGAAAAGTAGACCCTACCACACCCCCATTACCATGTTTGTTCTTGCTTCAAGTTCTTCAGTAAACTTAGTGTGAACCCTTGGAATTGCAGGGTTTGTAAGATTCATAACTCACCTCATTTTGGAATTGGGCATTGGAGCACATTACTCTCATTGTTTTTCCTGAGAGGATGAGCATACCCTAGACACTGTGTTTATGGTTTCCGTGAAAACCGTGCCAAAACATCTTTAGTTTTCAAACATATTAGATGCCACACTGCTCATAGTCTTTGCTTCTGCACAGGTCACTCATTTGTAGCCAAGCATGGCAGCACATGCCTGTACTTCCAGCACTCAGGAGCCTTGGCAGAATTGGACTTTCTTCAGGCATCTTTTCTTCTGAGACAAGGCCTCACCATATAGCCCCAGGTAGCTTGGAACTCACTGTAACTGGGCTGACAGCCAAGTTAAGAGATCTGCCTGTTTTCTGAGTACTGGGATTAAGGGCATCTTTTCTTTCTGAGATAAAGACTTGATTTTTTTTCTCTGTAGTAAGGCATCCAAAGCAAGAAATTCCAATTGGGGTGCCATTTTAGCTGAATTTGACAACTTTTGATATTTAACACTCTAAATATTTTGTCATTAATGTTTATTTGATCTAAATTAAGTATAAGTTTTTCTACGTACCCTTTGTTGACAGTCTCTACTTCAGTTGGAACAGCTTATGCTGGTCGTTAAAGAGGTGCATTAACATCCCCCAAGAGGAAGGGTGAGGTTTTTGTTGTTGCCCTGCCAGTTTCTACTTTTAAAAGCATAATGAATAATATAGCTGTGAATAACTTCTGAACACATACAGCTCTAGTGTTTGGGAGGCTGAGCCAGGAGAATCATATACTTGGGGAGAGAGGTCTTGATTTAGGTGGGATATATAGCTCTAGCTGGCATCGAACCCATGTTCATGTCTCAGCCTTCCTCCTCTGTGCCGTGATTGAAAGTGTGAACCTTGAAGCTGGGTTTACTTCATTCCCCTCTGTGATGATTACCAATGACCTTGGCCTACCCTGAAAGTCGAACACACCCTTTCTAGGCTTAAGTCACAGCCCTGGCTGGAAGCCAGAGGAGACTGCTGAAACTACAGTGCTCACTCACTCTCAAGAGTCCCACTGGGGCACCAATGCCTAAAGGAAGGCCACTTTTTACCCCTGTAGCTGTGACATTCGCTCTTTGGTGACATCTGATAGGTTCCGGCTCCATGGACTTACTTGAACCTGTCTTGAGAACCTGCATGGACTTGAACCTGTCTTGACTGGCTCAGGGTGACATTGTCGGCAGTATCCACTTTACACGCTAGAGTGAACGTGGATGCTAACCTAACTCCTACCTTCCCATCAATTCTATCTGGAACTGGAGGCCTTTTCTGTCTTCATAGTGGCAGTGGCTACTTATGCCCAAGCCTTCAAGTCTTGAGGCTTTGTTACTGTCCTGACTTTATCCACTTCATTGTCTAGTTATTTCCTGCTTACCTCACTCTCTTCAATTTGTGAACTTTTAGTTATCTGGTCCATCTTAGAAGCCTCTTGACACTGACTTACTATAGGTACCTGTTAACAGTTTTTGTTTCTGAGGCCCCTCACTTCTTAGGGGCCTCCTTGTCTGTGAAGCCCAAGGTCACCTCATTTCTAGGATTCCCTTCTTGACTGGTGGTGGAAGGTGATCTACCATCAACCCTGAAAATCATCTGCTTTGGGCACTCAGGGTTGGTGGCCCTGGCCAACTGCTGGCGAGCTGCTATTCATTGGACAACCATGAAAATGCCAATTGCAATTTTGGTTGTGGAAGGGAATTTCCTGAGTTCCTACTGGCCCATTGAGACAGTTCCTAACAACCCTGTGTATTGCAGGAGCACTCTTTTCCAAGTATACCTGCAAGTAAGGGGTTATTAGGGCCAAATATAATGAAAGATGACTTAGGACAGATTTAATGTCATTTGGTAATTGCAGGACTTGAGAGAAAATAGTGTAATTAGCCAAATAAAAATGAAAATTACCACTTACCATGAAAAGGGAACGTTGTGATTCCTTTACCTGCAGAGCCCATGGGCAGCATGTCATCCATGGAGGTGAATGTGGACATGCTGGAGCACATGGACCTGGTGGACATCTCTGACCAGGAGGCTCTAGATGTCTTCTTGAACTCCAGTGGAGAGGACAACACTACAGGGCTGTCCCCTGGTTCAGGTAAGTCACAACCAAACCAATGTCAAACCTCTTGAACTCAATGTCTTTGATGACCCAATTTTTCCACATGAAGGCTGTTAACTGCTAACTTGGAGGCACCCAGTTCCACTGCCTCCAGCGAGTGGGGTCTCTGTTGCAGAGATAGGACGGGATTGGGAATATGCTACCTCTCCTGTGTGGCTCACAGTTTTCCTTTCATGTAGTTATGGTGTGTGGAAATCTACTTAGGACACCCTGATTTCATGTTCATTCAGCAGTTGCCCACCAAGACCTTCCAGGACTGGGCTTGCACCCTTAATCCTGAATGGCATTTCACTAGCCAGGGTTTGTTTCTTTCACATACAGGAGAGAAGGGCAACCCTCAGCCTCAGGCGTGGGCCCACAGTACTGAGGGCCCAGATTCCTCTGACTTCACCTCCTCTATCTAAGCCTTCTGAGATCGGAATGATTTAGTCACAGTGACTGGTTATCTGTAACATCTTTATTCCTCTTATGTCCTTGTAAAATGGGAGAGTTACTGAAGGCTCAGCCATTCTGAGTCCATCTTAGCACCAGTGTATATATGGAATTGAAAGAGCTATATGATCATCTAGGCTGTACATGGCTTGTAGCAGATGCCTTTACCCTTTTAAGCACCATGCTTAACAGGACCTTATGCGGCTTTGCAGAGTTCTTTTCCTGTGTCACGGGTGTTAAACCACAGAACAGTCGGCCAGCTCATTCACCTGTGGCTCCTACAGCTGTAGTGTTGTGGCCTCAGACAGTTGTCCTCAATAGCAATTCCCAACTGCAATACCTCACTCAATCAGAGGCCTCTTTTGCTTTCTTCAACAGAGCTTGAATCCAACCCCTGTCAGAATGAAATGACTCTCCAGATTCCAAATCCCTCAGAATCAGCACTCCAGCCACCTGCCTCACCCTCTGCCTGCACTGATCTGGACGCAGTGGATGCCCCCCTCATCCAGTCTGATGAGGAGGATGTACAGGTGGACACTGCCTTGGTCACATTACACACTGACAGAAAGCCCACCCCAGGTGTCAGTGATGACAGTGACTCAAGCCAGGATGTTTAAATGACTTGTCAGCTGTGTGCAGAACCTCCTGCAAAGCCAGGTTCTTAGAGGGTTTTGTGTGTGAGAACCATTAGAGAAGAGCTCACAATAAAGCTGTGGACTAAATATTAAGCTGTGGTATATGGGGTTGTACAGGAACGCTTCTGCCTTGACAGGTGCTTACCGCTGATATGATCAAGCATTCCTAAAGGAACAAAGGTGTGGAGGGCCACTGAGAAGGGGCTTGGAGGGGATAGGACCTAGGCCAGGCTATGTGGGTTCCATGCCCTGGTGTAACGGGGAAAAACTGTTAACATGTAACCAATAGTGGTCAAATTGGGGTCTGAAAAACTTAATTTTGTACCCAACAGCTGAACTATATATTCAGGCCAAAACCTGTTATCAATACTAGAACACCTGGGTCTCTGCAGCAATAAACTTGAGTAAAAACAGCCTGGCTTGCTCCCCCACAGGGAAAGGAATACAGGGCAGAGCCCCTGTCCCCACCAGAGCCACAACAGCATGGCTGAGCACGAGTATGGAATTGCCACAGAGAAGACAGCCCACCCCTTTCCACAAGACAGACAAAAATGTCCAAAAAAATTGATTTTATTATTAAACCTTGTAGTACAAACCTGAAAAGTAAACAAAAAACTGGCAATAAACCACACGAAGTCCTCCCTCTTGAGGGAGGGGGTGCAGAGCAGCGCTAATAAATTAAATGTCAAACTGTAAGCCATAGGCGAAAGTTTACTGTCAAAAAGAGGGAAAAGTACACAGCAAGGCCATAAAAACTGGACAACCACATGGGAAAACACTCGACTGTTATGTAATCGTTAAATAATCCAAACAGTTCCGTCTTCTGCAACAACAACCACCAAAGTGGATCCTAGGACACTCCTGGCAGCCACCACTGGCAAGCTCAGTGCAATATGGGCAGCTACGGACTGATCCAATTATGAAACAAAGAACAGCTTGTGAAAACAGTTTCCCTTTTTTTTTATTCCACACATACTGTACACACAACCGGAGAAGGGCAACAGCTACTCCTTTACCATGTTTTGTTGTTGTTGAGTGATGTAAGCAGCACTTATAAATGTTACAAGAAAAACCCTGTAAGCATCCAATCCAGCCGATGAAGAAACTGAAATGTAAGGCTTTTCTTCATCTTCTCACCCTCCCCTCCCCCCACCAAGAAAAGGCTCAAGTATTTAAAACAATTTACAGGATTATGTACAAAGGGGGATGGGATTCTTTTTTTTTTTTTTTCTTTTTCTTTTTTGTTAAAACATGAAGAGAAAAAATAGACAAGATGAGCACAGATGTATTTTCACATTCAAAAAGAACTGCAGACTTAGTGGCTCTAAGTGTTTTAAACAAAGATTAATGCTGATGTGTGAAAACAAGCAGATGGAGGTGGAATGTCAGGAAATTGCACTGGATGACAGGGAAGCACTTACAGTCAACTACTGCTTTCCTTTTCCTCAAGGATGCTATCTGAAGGGTTTTCATATTTTTTTTTTTTTTTTGTGGGTTTTTTTTTTTCCTTTTTTGATAAAGTAGCCAACAGCACCAAAAAATAACAGAATGGATTTCCTAATGAAATCAGGCACAGGTCTCCCTCAGTGACCTCCAAGGCAGGCAATCTTTGTCTTCGTCCTCTCTTCCTCGAACGGATGCATAGTGATGCGCTGGTATGAAAACCTAGTCACTCAAAACTCTTATTTGCCTTCAGCTGCCATAACCGCCCAGCTAAACACATGAGGCGCTCCGGTTCCAAAAGTTACAAACTCTCCTTGCACAAGACAGAAGAAAAGACAGCCAAAGTAAAGCCATTTCAAGTTTTTTTTTGTGTGTGTGTGTGTGTGTTTTCTATCCCTTTACCCAATCTAGAAAAATCTGCTCATGTGACTGATGGTTTTAAAATTTGTTCTCCAAACTTCACCCTCTTCAAAAATGGGTTAAAAAGCCTTTATTCCCCAACAGTTACCAAAACAAGAAAAAAAAAAAAAAAAAAAAAAAAAAACCAAAAAACAAAAAAGGCTTTTGTCAGCCGTGGGGGCAATACAAATTAATACAGCCCCCAAAGGGTTAAACAGTCAGGGTACGGCAGCTTCCAAACCTGACTGCGATATCTAGAGATCTACGTACAAAAACTTCAACAGTTTAATGCTAAAACCAGAAGAAATTCTTCTTTAGAGCTAGTGCAAAGACAGCTTGTATCCTACAGCAAGTACTCCAAACTAGAATATAGTAATTACAAAAAATATATAAGTGACCATGGGATCGGCGTCTTCACGAGGATGGCAGCCGAGATGGCGGCACGTCCACAGTCGCTCTCTTACGGGGGCCTCTTTTTGGTGTGGGTTTGTTGAGACAGTTCTCAATGTCGCCGTGTTTGCCAGACACTTTGCCACATATCTGGTTGACCAAACTGATGATCTGCTCCTGCCAGGCAGACAGCATAAAGTTAGTGCAGCAGAGGGGCCTTGGACAACAACCATTACCTTAGCGTAAGGACAGGATGACACCTAAGGAAGCTTCCTGGGGCTACACAGACAGGCTGAGAGTATGTACACCTCCCTCTCTAACAGGGGTAGCTGGGCTCCAACAGCCACTGCTCACAAATGCCTTGTAACTAACTCCAGCTCCAGGGAATCTGATGGCCTTTGGCCTCTAGTGTATGCATCCCCATATACATAACTGACCCTGCATCAAATACTTGGGGGTAGGGGAGAGAAGCTCAATGTGAGAAGAAAAATCCAGAAATTAAGAGCAGTGGGAAGGTGCTGAAAAGGGTGAACTAACCCAGGCCAATGCTGGAGAGCTCACCCTGGTGGTGAGGATGAGAGAGTGCTGCAGGCTGACCAAACCTGCAACTATCTATCATATGAGTTGGCCCACCCCATCCATGACCTGCTGGACCAAAGCTGCAAGAGTCAGACCAATAACTCTTTGCAGTGAGCACTTGTAAGTAAAGATGTATAAATAGGGTTACTGTATGACTCACTATTGAAATACAGCTTCCACGATGAGATTTTTTTTTTTTCTTTATTCTACCCCACCCCCGGCACCTCTTAAATTTTACTTTATCTGGGGGTGGTGGGGTGTGAATTACAAGGCAGATAGGAAGGGCCAGGGAAATGAATGTGATAGGGATGCCTGATGTGAAAGACACAAAGTATACAAAAGAAAGTTAATAATAACCCAGCAGACAGATCTGAAATCAATTACATACACAGAACAATGATGGCTAATAGCACAACACACTTCCAGTCAGAGTTCTAAATTCCAGCTTCTGCTATACCCCACACTGCCCAGCAGTATGGTATACATTGGAAGTTCTCAGGATGAGGGGGATGTCAAAGAGGAAGATGAGACAGAAGATGTGAAAACAGCCAATAACAATGCTTCATCTTTGTGCCAGTCCACCCCCCTCACGATTACTTCCCTCTACACCAGAAAGTAAAGAGGGCATAGCAAAGTCCTTGTTCTTTACCCAAGAGCCACTCCTCTCTCTACCAAAATGTATCTGTAGCTGGGTGTGATAATCCACACTTAGAATCAACAGCTCTCCAGAGAGACACAAGAAGAAAGAACACATTTGGGGCCAGCTTGGGACTCACTGGAGGAATATCTCAAAAGAGAACACATAGGCAGGAAGCCCAAACACCAGGTAGATGTCGGGCACCACAAGGGAGGAATGGAAGCATAAAACCCTCCTGCGGTTCTCACAGTGAAGCTGTCTCTGAAAAGCCCTAGAAGGAATTGGAGGCCACAAAAGCCTAGCACGTCTGCTGATGTAACAACACAGGGCCCTGCCTCCTTGTACCAAGCTTGGGAGACAGACAGTGCAAAACTGCCTAGCTGTCCTCAGGCAGCTGGGCATTGACAGATAGACAGCCAAGTGTCAGAAAGTCCTGGGAGCGTCACAGTGCACTGGGGTAAGGGAGGGACAGGCCTGGAACCCCTAACATTTGTCATTGGCCTGGACAGGAGTGCTCATCTGTGGGCTGCAGGTGGCTTGAAATGCATTGATCCTACAAACTATATTTCCCAATCGAACCAGCTGAACTCAATTCAGGACTGGTACTGACTTCCTTCACTACAGCAAGTTTATGGCAGAGGAAAAGGCAGGTTCCCTGTATCCATCAAAGCCCGGGACTGGATACCAGACCGCCAGATGATTTCTTTCAGGATTTTGGTGACAGCAAAATGTCAATCTACAAGACCAGGTAGCTTCCCACCCCAAGCAGAACTTTTAGGAAAGTGGTTTCAAGCTGCCCTGATCATGTGCTCAGTGCAGCAACACTATCCTAGCTATGGGTTTTGGATGAAGCCCCGATGTGAAGGGTGCCAGACAGTAATTCCTATTCATTATTGGAATTCCATTTTAAGGTCATTGTGATATTTACTGCTCATGTAACAAAGTAAGGACCACAGAAGAGTGTTAGTCACTGACTACAACATGAATAAATAGATCTGCTTTCTGTTTTCCCACCTCCAACTTAGACGTGAGTCTGACCTATGCTTGATCCAGCCTCAGCAAGCCTGTGACAAGTAGGTAAAGGATCTGAATGCACTTACTGTCCACGAGCTGGAGCTTCAAGGAGCTTCAAGAATCTACAGGAACAGTAGATTCTATTGCCAGCCTTAGAACAACTAGAAGGCAGAACCTGGGACCACATGGATATCCTACTACACAGCCAGCTGGGGAACATACAGTGCTGATGGCACTGCCTGAAGGGCACCAGACTGCCAAATGTACAGCACCAGACAAACCAGAATCGACACATTCCAGAGGACTGCAAACCAAAGGCCAAGAAGATAGGAGTGTGTGCTGCAGCCCTTGAGAGCCTAGAGATGGCTGCTGAAGATGTTCACAGACCCAAGGAGGGGTTAGAAGGGTTACAGAAGCAACAGCTTCAGACAGAATGAGGTGGGCAAAGCAGTGAAGTGTACATACTACATCATAGAATTAGAAAACCACACGGAATGGTCAATGGTGCTCCATTAATGAGAAGGTTGTTAGGATCAGGGTTCATTTAGAACAGCTGTTCTCAGCCTGTGATCTGAGACCCCAATGGGAGTCAAACAACCCTTTCACAGGCATCATATAGTAGTTATCCTGC